CAGTATCCCCTTGTTCTGTATGAATAACGACAGCCTCTTGGTCTGTGTACAGGTTCTTTGTGAGTACTTGTTCTGGAATTCCCATTCTTCACAACGTTATACATAATTTGATATGATATACACAGTTGAATGCCTTTGCCTAGTCAATGAAACGCAGGTAAACATCTTTCTGGTATTTTTTACTTTCAGCCAAGATCCATCTTACATCAAGTAATGATATCTCTCAGTCCGTGTCCTCTTCTGAATCTGGCTTGAAGTTCTAGAAGTTCCTTGTCAATATACTACTACAACCATTTTTGAATTATCTCCAGCAAAATTTTACTTGTGTGTGGCATTGATGATATCACAGTTGTTCAATAATTTCCACATTCTTTTGGTTCACTTTTCTTTGGAAAGGGCACATATATGAATCTCTCCCAGTCAGTTGGTCAGGGAGCTGTCTTCCAAATTTCTTGGCATAAATGAGTAAGCACCTCCAGCACTGCATCCATTTCTTGAAACATCTCAGTGGGTATTCTGTCAATTCCTGGTGCCTTGTTTTCGGCTGGTTCTTTCAGTGCAACTTTGACCTCCTCCTTCAATACCATTGGTTCTTGATCAGATGCCACCTCTTGAAATAGTTGAACATCAACCAGTTCTTTGTACAGTGATTCTGTGTATTCTTTCCATCATTTTTTTCCCCTTCTGTCTTCTTTTGATGCTTCCTGCATCATACAGTATTTTGCCCATCGAATCCTTCACTATTGCAACTCCTGTTGTTGTTATGTGCCTTCGAGTCGGACCCAACTCATAGTGACCCCTCCTTGGGTTTCCAAGGCAGTATCACTACTTCCCCCCATCTTCCCCATCTTCCTTCCAAGGAGTGGTTGGTGGGTTTGAACTGCCAGCCTTCTGGTTAGCAGTCAAGTGCCTTAGGGATTATGCTACCAAGGCTTGAATTTTCTTCTTCAGTGCTTTCAGCCTGAGAAACGCCAAGCATGTTTTTCCATTTTGATTTTTTAATTCTAGGTGTTTATACATTCCATTATAACAATTGACTTTGTCTTCTTGAGTTGCTCTTTGAAATCTACTGTTCACCTCTTTTATTTAGTCATTTCTTCTATTCACTTTAGCTACTCTCCATTCAAGAGCAAATTTCAGAGGCTCTTCTGACACCCATTTTGGTCTTTTCTTCCTTTCCTGTCTTTTTAATGACCTTTTGCTTTCTTCATGGATGATGTTCTTGATGTCAACCCACAACTTGTCTGGTTTTCAGTCATTGGTATTTAGTGTGTCAAATCTATTCTTCAGATGGTCTCTAAATTCAGGTGGGATACAATTGAGATCATTATTTGGCTTTGGTGGACATGCTTTAATTCAGCTTCAACTTGAACTTGCATATGAGCAGTGGTCTATTCCATAGTCAGTTGCTAGCCTTCTTTTGAGGGATAATACTGAGCTTCTCCATAGTCTCTTTCCACAGATGTAGCCTTTTGATTTCTGTATGTTCCATCTGGCAAGGTCCATGTGTATAGGTGCTGTTTATATTGTTGAAAAAAGGTATTTGCAATGAATAAGTCATTGGTCTTACAAAATTTTATCATGCAATCTCTAGTGTCATTTGTATCAATAAGGCCATATTTTCCAACTATTGCATTCCAATACATCTTGATTGCATGTTTGATCAATTTCAGACTGCAGAAGTTGGTAAAAATCTTCAGTTTCTTCATCTTTGGCTTTAGTAGTTGGTGCGTAAATTTGAAACATAGTAGTATTAACTGGTCTGCCTTGTAGATGTGTGGATATTACCCTATCACTGACAGCATTGTACTTCAGGATAGATCTTGAATGTTCTCTTTGACAATGAATGCAATGCCATTCCTCTTCAATTTGTCATTCTCAGCACAGTAGACCTTATGATTGTCTGGTTCAAAATGGCCCATATCAGTCCATTTCAGCTTACTAAATGCCTAGGATATCAATCTTTATGCATTCCATTTCATTTTTGACAACTTCCAATTTTCCTAGATTCATACTTTGTACATTCCACATTCCAGTTATAAATGGACATTTGCAGCTGTTTCTTCCCGTTTTGAGTGATGCTCCATCAGCCGATGAAGGTCCTGAAAGCTTTACTCTGTCCACGTCATTAAGGTCAACTCCACTTTGAGGAGGCAGCTCTTTCCCAGTTATATTTTGAATGCCTTCCGACTTGAGGATCCTACCTGCCGGCACTATATGGGACAATGTTTCAGGGCTATTCATAAAGTTTTCTAGTAGTATATCAGTATTTCACTGCTATTCATAAGGTTTTCACTGGCCAATTTTTTCAGAAGTGGACGGCCCTCTCCTTCTTCTGAGTCTGTATTAGTCTGGAAGCTCCACTGAAACTCGTCCACCATGGTGACCCTGCAGGTATTTGAAGTACCAGTGGCATAGTGTCCAGCTCATAGCAACACACAGGCCATCACAGTATGACAGACTGACAGAGAAGTGGTGGAAGCAGATGATAGAGATGATAATTACTATAAATTTAGAAGTGAGGGAGATCACTGCAGACTGAAAGTGTTCTTAGGATCTGAGCCCTGAGTCAGACTTGAAGGAGGGTGTAACATTTTGAAAAAGCTGAGAGACGAGAAGGCATTTATGGTGAGGAAAATAACAGGAGCAAAACATAGATGTAAAACCTTTTTAGGCAGTGAGTAGACCAATCTGGTGGGGTGACAGGATAAATTTGATTTTAGCAAAATTCAAGTGTGTAAGAGTGGTAGGAGGTAGTGGGGAGTAGATCAGATCAGATTGTAGCAGTTAGTGTAGTGAAAACAGTCGTTTTGTTGAACATATGTCTAATATAAACCCCAAGCAAAACCCATTGCTGTCGAGTCAATTCAGACTCATAGTAACCCTGTTAGGGTTTCCAAGGCTGAAATCTTTACAGAAGCAGACTGTGTCATCTTTTTCCTGTGGAGTGACTGGTGAGTTTGACCCATTGACCTTTTGGTTCACAGCCCAATGCCTTAACAACATTCCTTCAGTGGCCAACAGAGCCACCAGAGCACCTTCATGTCTCATATAATTATTGTATCGTCAACAAACATTTTTTATTGCCTTAAGTTAGGCAGTGTATTTGGTGCTATGCGTGAGTTAAGAACAGCTTCTTAGTAGCTCTGTTCTAATAGAAAGATGAGACTTTATACACAACTTTCTAACATAAGGTAGAAAAGTGCTAAGTGCCATAAGAGGTATATAGCCTCACAGACTAAGTACTGTGAGAGTTCCTAGAATGGGAGATAACTTCTGGCAAAGGGAGCCTGGGGCTGTATAGTGAATTTATACTTTTGTGAATTTTACTTATGCTTATTCACAATGAGAATAATCTCTCTATAGTTGAACTACAGATGTCATTTGAGGATTAAAAGTAAATATTGACTATAAACAAGAGAACATGATTATGGAATAGATAAAATTTATATTGTTGAGAAACTTTTAAATCTTTTTTTTTTTCCTTATGGCTTTGGCATCTGAATGTATATTGTTGAGTTTCATAATAAGGAACTTTTAAAAATAATGCACTTTATCCTGGAATTTAGGAGAGATGAAATGTTGATAATGTTATTAAAAAAAACAAACTCACTTTCATCGAGTTGATTCCAACTCATAGCAACACCCTTTGGGTTTTTGAGGTGTTAACTTTTATGGAAGTAGATTGTGCAGTGTTTTGGTCACTTAGTGCTGCTCTAACAGAAAATATACCACAAATGGAAAGGCTTTAACAAACAGAAGTTCATTCTCTTACAATTTTGGAGACTTAAAGCCTTAGGCTTTAAGTCTGTGTTCAAAGGGCTGGGTGAAAGCCCCTCAACCTTGGGCTTCAGCTCTGCCTCTTGTTCCTGGCCCACTGAAACTGGAGGCTTTTCTTTACTCAGGCAGCAGCTGGCTGCTGAGGCTGACAAGCCCAAGGTTGACAAGTAAAAAGGCACAGTTCCGATACCACCAAACAACATGACAGACTACTAATTCAAGTCCAGAAAAAGTCAATTTGGCAAGCTCAATAGGGCATGGCAGGCTGCTGAACAACGACTTGGCTACGTGCAGAGTTCAAGCATGCCAAAAAGCTGGAGACCATCCTCAAAGTTGCTTCTTATATACTGAAGGCAGACAACGTTCCCTAAAGCAGCTACTCAGTAGATTTCACCATTGAGTTAATTACCAGTCTCACCATGGGGAATAACTATATTCAGCTGCCCCAGCCACTCAACTAGGCCCAGCCAGGTTGACACACAAACTTAACTACCACATGCAGTCTTCTTTTTGCAGAGTGGCTGGTGGGTTTGAACCGCCAACCTTCTGGTTAACAGTCAAATGCCTTAGGCGCTACACCACCAGAGCTCCTTGATGTTATAAGAATCAGTAAACAATGTTTTGAATTCTGATAAATTGAACATTAACTGCATGTTTAAAAATTCTTGTGTATTATAAATAATAAATGTACATTACAAAATGTAATGTACATTTATTATTTATCTTGTATATATAATCTGTCTACTAATTTAGGAATATAACTATATATCACCTATTTGTTGTTGTTGTTGTTATTTGCCGTCGAGTCGGCCCCGACTCATAGCGACCCCTACTTGGGTTTCCGAGGCATTATCACTACAGAAGTAGGATTGCCCAACCTTCCTTCTGAGGAGTGGCTGGTGGGTTTGAACCGCCAGCCTTCTGGTT